GTGTCTATGAGATAACTGAAGAATGTCTCTTCTGAGATGTGCTGAAAATAATCAGTAAACCAATTTAACACTTCAGAGTGGTGTGATATAAACCCATTATCTAGTAATTCTACCTTAGTGTGAACATTAACCCTTTGACTGTCGAGACCTCAAATCCTGAAGTGTGTCTGTGTCGCAAAATATTTGAAAAAAAAAAAATATTTTGTCTTATGAAATGGTAGAGAACGTTTTCCTGATGGTAATGACACCAAAAGTATGAAATTTGATGGAAAACTTATGGAATTACGCTCTCACGAAGTTAGCGATTTCGGCAATATATATGCAACAGCAATTTTGCCCACTTTGAGCCCTATTTTCAGCCAATTCCATTGTTCCAGTTAACCAAACTCATAGCTATTTCTTTAGAACTCTGTTTGTTCTATCGACTGATTACAAGAACCCACCCATTTGGCCTATTTCACTCAAATTAAAAATGATAGCAATTTCAAAATAGGGTCCAGAATAAACAAGAGAAACATTCCTGGCACTAAAATAACATTTCTCTGTTCATTAGTCATGTCTCCAGGCCCCTCTTATACTGCTCTTGCTTTCCATTTTGAATTTTTATTCCCACAAAAAATAGAAGATTTACTGTTATTCAGACTACTGCATTATTGTAAAAATGGTATAAATAATATCAGCGCACTTGTGAAAGAATATTAGATTCACCAGTTGATGTGTATTGGATGCGTGGCATGATTTGTTTACTCTTGAACATTTCCGCTACTTTGAGCTCAGTTTCAAGGAACTTTTCATTGTGAAACCAATCAAAATCATCTCTAATTCTGTAATATGTCTTCCATTCTGTCAAATGAGACCAAGAAAACCAGAATAAAACTATAAATACTGTACAAAAATACACCTTAAAGTCAGCATCTTAATCCACAAATGTGGTCGGAGTTTTTTTTTTTCTCGTTATGCACTGTGTGCTGCAGGAATTTTTTTTTATACTGTGCATACTGACCACACAGGCCCATTCTCTCTCATGTGGGCCTACCAGCTTTCTCCCACTTGATTTGAAGCTGCTAAAATTTTGGCGTATTTATACATCGAAAACATTGGCTCGTAAGACGTATATATACAGCCAAAACAGTCAAAGGGTTAACCCCTTAACTGTCCAAATGTAGATCTATGTTCTTACCACTAGTGCCCCAAACCTAGATCAACGTTTTATTTTTCCTGCCTCCAAATTTGGGACAATTGACCTGAGACGCCTGGTCAGTATAAAATGGGTCTTAACACTCAGTGTGAGCAGTAATATTTGTTTGGCATGCTGGGTGGCTGGCTGGCTGGCTGGGTGACTGGTTGGCCGGGTGGCTGCCCAGGTGGCTGATTGACTTTGGCTGTCTCTATCTCCCTCTGTCTATATCTATGCCTGTCTCTGTCTATCTCTTTCTCTGTCTATCTCTGTCTCTATCTCACAGGTACACATAAGTAGTTATTATAGTGTAAATTACCTAGGATAACCCCAAAAATCCAGACCAAGTGCTATATTGTGAGTTTATTAGTCATCCAGATTGGTATTTTTATAAGTTCTTCATTAATAATGCTGTCGAGAGAATTTTGATTAGGGTGGGAGATGACTAAAGTGTCTTTGGAAATAAGAACAGGTCTATGTCGCTGTGGTATATTTGGAAGATTACTGATGTATAAGAGGAAAAGCAGGGAGCCATGGACACTTTCCTGTGGGATGCCTATGTCAACAGGTCATGTTGGTGAGGTTGAACCATTGATAGAGACATATTAATGTCTGTTGGTAATGTAAGGTTTTATATGTACAAGTGTATAACCTCTGATACTGTAATGATCTTGTTAAAGGTGTAGGATGCTGTGGTCTATGTAGTGAAAGCTTTCCTAAGATAAGTAAAGAGGCCCACTGGATATTCATTGTTTTCAAGAGATGTATAAAGGAAGTCTAGTAGTTTTATGATTCCATCAGTTGCACCTATCTAGTGGAACCTCTGCTTACAAGTTTAACCCTTTGACTGTCGCAACCCCCAATCCTGAGGTGAATCTTTTCCCGATTGTAATGACACCAAAAAAACGAAATTTGATGGAAAACTGACGGAATTATGCTCTCGCGAAGTTAGCAACCTCAGCGCTGTTTACAAATCGGCGATTTCGCCCACTTTGAGCCCTATTTTCAGCTAATTCCATTGTTCCAGTCGCCCAAACTCATAGCTATTTCTTTAGAACTCTATTTTTTCTATCGACTGAGTACAAGAAACTGCCCATTTACCGATTTCAACTACCTAATAATGTGGTCAGAAATTTGCAATTTGGCCAATTTCACGAAAACTAAAAAATATGACAATTTCAAAAAAAGGTCCAGAATGAACAATGCAGACATTCCTGGCTCTAAAATAACATTTTCCTTGCTCATCAGTCATGTCTCCAGGCCCCTCTGATATTACTCTTGCTTTCTATTTTGAATTTTTATTCAAACAAAAAATAGAAGACTTACTATTATGCAGACTTCTGCAATACTGTAATAATTGTATAAATAACATCAACCCATTCATGATTGCATATTAGAATAGCTAGTTGGACATTTATTGGACAATGGCATCATTTGTTTACTTTTGAACATTGGCAAAAATCAAACATTTCCCCTACTTTGAGCTCCATTTCTAGGTTCTTTTTATAGTAAAATCAATCAAAATCACCTCTATTTCTATAATATGTTTTCCATTCTATCAAGTGAGACCAAGAAACCGAGAATACAACCATAAATACTATACGAAAGTAGACCACAAAGTCGGCATTTTAATTAAAAAAATGGTCGGAGTTTTTTTTTTCTCATTATGCACTGCGTGCTCCAGGATTTTTTTTTATATGGTGCACACTGACCACACAGATCCATTTTCTCACATGTGGGCCTGCCAGCTTTCTCCTGCTTGATTTGAAGCCACTAGAATTTTTGAGTATATATACGTCAAACACGGTACCTCGTAAGACATATATATACGGCCGCAACAGTCAAAGGGTTAATGTGTTTCGTGACCTAGCTCATAACCTGATCTGCTTAGTTGCTGAGTCAGTTTTCCTCATTTAAATTAATTAAAATGCCATTAATCCTTTCCAGAGGAATTCCTGGTCTGGAGGCAGGGCATAATACTTGAATATGATGCTAATATCAACTCTACAGCTTATTTATCAAAATTCATCTAATATGACAATAATATTATTAACACAGAAACCTGATATATGCTCTAGAATGAATAAAATGTCATTATGTGACAAGTGGTGGCGGCCATTTCCGCTCCCGCTCTGAAAATATCTTCATGCTTCCCCTTCTGAGGTTTTATTATAAGAGAAATCAGAGTGTTTGTGAGGCTAACTGCACTAGTTTCATAAGGAAAACACTGAAATAAGAAATATTGTATAAAAACATAATTAACTGGTGTACGTACAGCATTTACCTTGGAGAAGAGATGCTGACAGAGGTTGACAGTGGAAAAGATAGGCAGAGCAGCGTATGCTGTCAGTGGCCCTATAAACCCCAACAACAACAACATTGGAGGAGTTCATTTTGTTTCTTCCTTTTTCTATCGCTTGATCGCTTAACTTACTTGCTACTCTTAATGCTACACATTATCATTGAAATTAACTGCTACAATTTGTTTATTTTTTTCACTTCACTTTTCATTGATGTTTGGCTTTTTCTCCACGCTTTTCACTCTTGATATTGAGTGTTGTTGTGGTATTCACTGTGCCATCTAATGGCGGCATTTGTTGTTTTGTTGCAGTCTGACTCTCGGTTGTTATTATAGTATTATTGTAATTATATATTATTATTATTATTATTATTATTATTATTATTATTATTATTAACCCATAAACTGTCCAAAAGTAGATCTACATTCACGTGCGTAGTGCTCCGACCCTGATTTCCCCCATTTAAAAGCATGTAAAAAAAGGTAGATCTACATTCGGAGCCTGCCGCACATCAACGTATATCTACGTTTGGATGGTTTAAGGGTTAATTATTATTATAATAATAATTGGGAGGCACTAAACTCGTAGGATTATACAACGCCTGTTGGGAGGGGGGATGGAAGGTATTCAGGCTTAATTTAGGGTACTGGAGCACAGATACAATTCCTTAGATCAAGAGCCCCTCACCTGCATCAAGGGGCCTCCCATGAAGGGGAAGCTAGCAACCTGAATTTTGGCTCTTATCCTTGAGCAAAAAATCGACAGAGCAACAGCTTATATCCTGAAAAACTCACATAGGGGGGGGGCACTCGTAAGCAGAGGTTCCACTGTATTTGGTCTGAAACCAAACTGGCAGGGGCTGAGTATACTGTGTGACGCTAGAAAATAGTAGTCTTGTGTATTAATTTTTCAAAAATTTTTGGATAACAGTGGTAAGTTAGATATTGGCCTGTATTTATTTATATCAGTTTTGGTCTCCATTTTTGTGTATCAGAGTAACTCTTGCTATCTTGAGTAATGATGGGAAAGTGCTGGTGTCCAGTGATTTGCTGAACAGTAATGTAATGGTGGGTGAGAGGACATGACAACTTGAGCTAAATTTCTTGACTTGTTTTTCATTGAATTAATAATCAGGGTGACTTCAGTGGGCTCAGTTGGAGCAAGATAGAGGGATGTTGGGAAGCTTCCAACAAGGTAATCATTCACTCTAGCATTAGTGCTTGGAATTTTGTTAGCGAGACTTGATCCTATGATAGAGAAGAAATAATATAACTTGTTGTATCTTTCTGTTGGCTGGAGATATGATTCATTGGGTTTAGTTAGGAAAATATCTCCGGTTTTTGGTCAGCTTCTGAGAAACCCAGGATTTGAGAGAGCATTTTTCAGATCTTTCTTTTATCTCTTGCTTCCTTGAATCTACTAGAATAATACAGTTGTTTGGACTTATTTATTAGTTTGGTGAGGACTGTTGTGTAGTTTTTAGTTAAAAGTTGTATGTGCTTATTTGCAGTTTTATTTGGCAGGGCAAGTTAATGGCACTGATGTTCTACGAGGTGTCAACACGCACACACTGCAGCTTCCAGGCAGCTATCCAGCGTCTGGGTGGACGAACAGTCACCATGGACACCAACACTTCTTCTGTCAAGAAAGGAGAGAGCTTGGAAGGTAATGACCTCTTATAGTTTTCTCCAGTAATGTACCATTAACAGTGGTGGTGGAATATGTACTCTTCATTAATGTACAGTGCCTGCAAAAATAATCCAGACCTCCCTTTTCATTGTTATGAAAATCATTAAAAAGTAATTATATAAACATAAAACAAGAACTGTAATACAGTCTTTCCTCACTTAACCCTTTCACTGTCAGGACCCCTGATTCTAAACTCTCGCTCTATGTTGAAAAATATTCCAAAAAACAAAATTTTTTTCTTACCAAAATCTGAAGAATATTTCTCTGTGTGTTTTAAAACAAGAAAAATCTTTTGCGATCAGTACTTACTGAGATACAGTGGAACCTTGACTTACAAGTGTCCCAACTTAAGAGTTTTTTTGAGATTCAAGCCATCCCTGGGTTGATTTTTTGCTCTGAGTTACGAGCCAACATTTGAGTTATGAGCCAGCTTTCCCCTCCCTTTTCCCCCTCAACCCAAAACCTGGACATCTCGCTATGATTTCATGCTTTAATTCCATGGAAATCATTCTCTTTTTCATCTCAGCAATATAATATATTATTATTACAGTCAAGTCACTCAGTCGGTCAAGTCACTCAGTAAGTCAGATCACTCAGTAAGTCAGTCAAGTCATTTAGTAAGTCAGTCAAGTCACTCAGTAAGTCAGTCAAGTCACTCAGTAAGTCAGTCAAGTCATTCAGTAAGTCAAGTGATTCAGTAAGTCAGTCAAGTCACTCAGTAAGTCAGTCAAATCATTCAATAAGTCAGTCAGGTTACTCAGTAAGTCAGTCAAGTCATTCAGTAAGTCATTCAGTATGTCAGTCAAGTCACTCAGTAAGTCACTCAGTTCAGTCAGTCAATTCAGTCAGTCATTTAGTAAGTCATTCAGTCAGTCAGTCACACAAACTCATGTTAACCTCTTTTTCTGTGTACAAAGTAACACTTCAGTTATGGCTACAGGTTTTCTCTTGTCTAATACAGTGGACCCCCGGTTAACGATTTTAATCCGTGCAAGAGGGCTCATCGTTATGCGAAATAATCGTTATGCGAATGAATTTTCCCCATAAGAAATAATGGAAATAAAATTAATCCGTGCAAGACGCCCAAAGTATGAAAAAAATTTTTTTTTACCACATGAAATGTTAATTTTAATACACACAAACTGAAAAAGGCATGCACAATTACATGACACTTACTTTTATTGAAGATCTGGTGATGATTGATGGGATGGGAGGAGGGGAGAGCATTATCTTCTTACTGTTTAGAAGGGGAATCCCCTTCCATTAGGACTTGAGGTAGCAAGTCCTTTTCTGGGTTACTTCCCTTCTTCTTTTAATGCCACTAGGACCAGCTTGAGAGTCACTGGACCTCTGTCGCACAACAAATCTGTCCATAGAGCTCTGTACCTCCCGTTCCTTCAAGACTTTCCTAAAATGGGCCATAACATTGTCATTGAAATAGTCACAAGCACGGCTTGCAACAGCTGTGTCAGGGTGATTTTCATCTATAAAGGTTTGCAGTTCAACCCACTCTGCACACATTTCCTTAATCTTTGAAGTAGGCACAATGGATTCCACAACTGGCATAGGCTTCTCAGGGTTAGCCCCAAACCCTTCAAAATCTTTCTTAATTTCCATACTAATTCTCACCCTTTTTACCACAGGGTTGGCACTAGAAGCTTTCTTGGGGCCCATGGTCACTTATTTTCCAGAAACAGCACCGAAAATACTGTAATAATAGGAAATATTCCGAGTGTATGCTTGGATGTTACCGCGGAGGCTGGCTGGTAAACAATGGGACGGAGCGGCACATGTGAGGCTGGCTGAGGGCACATTGGACGCGTCTCGGACGAAAATCGGTATGCGGGTTTTTAATCGGTATGCGCGGCAAAAATTTTGCGATAAAAGTAATCGTTATGCGGAAAAATCGCTATGCGATGCCATCGTTATGCGGGGGTCCACTGTATCTTTGTTAATTCTAAGACTTAAGTGCTTATACCTCTTCATGCCACTTTCAGCAACACTGTTATGGCTACTGGGTGTCATGATTGCTTGGCAGATACAAGATATAGTAATTAAAATATCATAACACAACTGACAAACACAGCTGCCTTGTAGCAGAGAAAGACTGGACAAGTATGAATTACGAATGCTGGGATGGTGGAGGGTGGTGTCGGGAAGTGGTAGGGGATTGTGGGGTGGTGTTGGGGAGTGGTAGGGGATGGTGGGGGGTGGTGTTGGGGAGTGGTAGGGGATGGTGGTGGGTGGTGTCAGGGAGTGGTAGGGGAGGGCTCCCCGGCTGCTCTACAGCAAGGTGGCCGCTTGAGCAAAAGAGAATTTTTTTTTCCTTCCCACAAACTGAACCATGTTAAATTAATTATACAACGTGTTACATAAAATTGTGCAGCAATTCTTCAGTGGCGGTCTACTGTATTATTATAATAACAATAGAGCTTCAGTTCCCTAAATTAATAATAACAATAATAATATAATTCTACTACTAATATTATTATTATAATGATAATAAATAAAATAATAATAATAATAATAATAATAATAGAGCTTCAGTTCCCTTAATTAATAACAATAATAATAATATACTCAACCCCTGCCAATTTGGATTCAGGAAAAATAAAAGCACTAATGATGCAATCATAAAAATGCTAGATCTGCTTTACAGAGCATTGGAAAATAAGGAATATCCACTAGGAATTTTTATTGACCTAAGAAAAGCTTTTGACACAGTAGACCACAGCTTCCTACTCCACAAACTTGACCATTACCGTATAAGAGGCCATGCACTTGCATATTTCAAATCCTACATTACTAATAGGTATCAGTATGTCACCATTAAAGACACAGCATCATCAACATGGCCACTTGATACTGGAGTTCTGCAGGGAAGTGTCCTTGGTCCCCTGCTCTTCCTCTTATACATCAATGATCTTCCAAACATATCCCAACACCTGAACCCCATTCTCTTTGCTGACGACACGACTTACGTCATCTCTCACCCTAATCTTGCCACCCTCAACACCATTGTTAATGAGGAGCTGCTCAAAATATCGACTTGGATGACAGCCAATAAACTTACGCTTAACACTGACAAAACCTACTATATTATGTTTGGTAGCAGAGCAGGAGTTGCGCAAATTAACATTACGATCGACAACACTCTAATTGCCAGACATAATGAGGGCAAATTCCTAGGCCTATACCTCGAGAGCAACCTGAATTTCAGCACCCATATAAAACACACAACAAAAAAAGTATCCAAAACGGTGGGGATCCTCTCCTAGATACGATACTACGTGCCACAAAATGCCCTTCTCACACTATACTACTCACTTATTTATCCATACCTCACCTATGCTATTTGTGCTTGGGGATCAACTGCAGCAACACACCTAAAGGCAATAATCACCCAATAAAAAGCCGCAGTAAGAATAATCATTAAATCCCATCCCTGGCAACACCCCCTCCCACTCTTCATAGATCTAAACTTAGTCCCTGTTCAGTACATCCACACTTACTACTGTGCAATCTACATCTACAGGACCTTAAATTCCAATATTAACCTTGACCTAAAATGCTTTCTTGATAGTTGTGACAGAACCCACAGGCATAACACCAGACACAAACATCTCTATGACATTCCCCATGTCCGACTAAACCTTTACAAAAATTCAATGTATGTCAAAGGCCCTAAAATCTGGAACACCCTCCCTGAAAACTCTTGAACTGCAGACACATTTATCACCTTCAAAACTACCATTAGAAAACATCTTATCTCCCTGATACACCCCATCAACTAATTACATGAATACCACCTGGTGGTTCACACTTACACTCACTCACCCATTTGACCATAAACACAGAAATATCAATCTTAATCTTAAAATAATGAATCCTAACTAGTCATAAGTTGGCCTGTGATACTCCAATACTGAAACTATGTATTGTGTGAAAACAAAAGTATTCACATTGCTAAACCCACAAACTAGTATTTAGTCACTTAGCCATAATACTAACTTACCTCATAATTTGTAATATTTTAAAGTTAAGAATTAATCTAAGTCTGCCCGAAATGCCTAGCCATGCTAGGTGTTCTAGTGGCCCCCTTTGTAATTAGTATTTTAAAACATGTAAACCACACAATATCCAAATTCTGTAAACTCAGCATTGTAATCCTTATAGAGAATAAACTTGATTTGATTTGATAATAATAATAATGTAATATTACTACTAATAATGTAATATTATTATTATTATAACGATAGAGCTTCAGTTCCCTAAATTAATAATAATAATAAATAATATAATAATTATAGAGCTTCAGTTCCCTAAATTAATAATAATAATAATAATAATAATAATAATGCATAGGTAGTAGGTTGGTAGACAGCAACCACCCAGGGAAGTACTACCGTCCTGCCAGATGACTGTGAAACAAAAACCTGTAACTGTTTTGCATGATGGTAAGATTGCTGGTTTCTTTTTCTGTCTCATAAACACGCTAGATAACAGGGATATCTTGCTACTCCTACTTACACTTTGGTCACACTTCACAGACACGCACATGCATATATATATATACATACATCTAGGTTTTTCTCCTTTTTCTAAATAGCTCTTGTTCATTTATTTCTTCTATTGTCCATGGGGAAGTGGAAAAGAATCTTTCCTCCGTAAGCCATGCGTGTCGTATAAGGCGACTAAAATGCCGGGAGCAATGGGCTAGTAACCCCTTCTCCTGTATACATTTACTAAAAGAGAAGAAGAAAAACTTTATAAAATTGGGATGCTTAAATGTGCGTGGATTAGTGTGGATGACAAGAAACAATGATTGCTGAGTTTATGAATGAAAAGAAGTTGGATGTCCTGGCTCTAAGCGAAACAAAGCTGAAGGGGTAGGAGAATTTCAGTGGGGGAAATAAATGGATTAAAAACTGGAGTATCTGAGAGAGTTAGAGCAAAGGAAGGGGTACAGTAATGTT